CAAGGTAGAATGTAGAACGTTGTGTTTATAAACTGTGTTATACCAATTGAGCTAGATGTTCCCCAAGGACATGGTCCCCACAGCCCTCCACCCAGCAATTCAGTCCCTCAGGGAGTCTGGATGTGTCTATGGAGCTTGCATCACCTTTCCTTGTACAAGTTGTGCTGGTTTCCCCTGTACTGTGTACTGTCTCACCCTTCACCCAAGATACCACTTATGTATTGCCTATTTAGTATTTCCTCCCACCCCTCCCATCCCTGGTAACCAACAAAGATTGTTACATTTTGTGTGTGAACTTCTTTATGGGTTTTTACAGTAGAGGTCTCACACAATATTTGTCCTTTTGTGAATGACCTACTTCTCTCAGCATAATGTCCTCCAGTTTCATCCATGTTATGAGATGCTTCATAGATTCATCATTGTTCTTTCTCATTGCACAGTACTCCATTGTGTGTGGTTATTCTGTCTCTTGCTGGAAGCTCTGTGAAGCTGCTGTCTCGTATCCCTGTTCACTGATCTCTGATAGGAGTCCAAGATGGCGGATCCGTGCAGTGGTAGCTGATAGGGGACCTCTGCATGTATCTCTCCTCTCTCTCTGTACTCAGCCTGTTTCTTATTCGATTCAGTGCTTGGCTTAGTTCTTTATCTCTTCATGATGCTTAGGGTTTCAGGACTGACATGTGACTCTGTTTGTCTTAGTTTTCTGGATCTTCGCTGTGGAGGGATGGCATGGTGCTTCTGACTATAGTGCCATGTTGCCCGGAAGTCTTTGAAAATAAATGTTTTTAATAGAAATTTGAATGTTCCTGGTGGTTAGTCCGCCTTGTTATACTCGGAATAGCTAATGATTATTTTTTGTCTCAAATTTAGGATTTAAAAAAGGATTGAATTAAAGGTATAACTTCATAACCTTACTCTCCTGGGTTGTTTAGTGTTTTATTAATAATTTAATTCAATCTTTGTTGTTTCCCTTTCATTACTATTATTATTGGCACAATTAGGATTTCATATACTTAAAATGAAAAACTGGGTAATCAGGTTTATGAGCTGTTATGAGAACAAGCCTGAAGAGTAGTCAATAGAAGTATTTGAAATGCCTCCCCAGCTAGTTCAGCCTTATACTGAGGGTCAATCAGACTATGCTGAGGATCTCTCAAGGCTGGCTCTGCCAGGGTACTGTGGTTGGAGGAAGCGGGAAGGTGGTGGGAATACTATAAATAACACAGTAACTTATTTATGCAACTGAAAGAAAAATAATGTAGATCTTAGAGGTAGCAAAAGCTGATCTGCTTCAGATTTATGACCCTTCTAATGTTTCCATTGTTTTCTTTGTAAACTTCATTCAATAGCTGGAACATAAGCCAGATATGAGCCTTAAATGGCACAGCTGATCAATTCCTTAGCTGCCTCTAGGACATAGGCAAGGAAAAGAGGAGGATGCCACACACACGGAAACGTACTTTTTTGTGGCTTTCAGCACCTGTCAAAACGTGTCAGCTGTCCTTGAGCCTTGGGACAGATGGCAGACGCTGGCATTTACAATGGAGCCTGGAACAATTTGCCTGAGCTTCATGACTAAGGCAGTTTACATCTTTTTCAGCAGGCAGATCATAACACCAAATCCCAGCGTATGACTTAGCCGCCAAAAGAGAACTGGGCCGAGCACTGGCCATTATCAAGAAGATGGAAAGTTATAGGCAGCCAGCAATGGAAACACCCTTTGGCGATCTTATTAGGGCCAGAAAGAAAGAAGTGGCTCTGGCTGTCTGCTTCTCATCATTTCAGGACATGGGTGCTATCATTTATGAAGGGTGAACCCCTGCCTTCACACACACTGTCTCTATATACCCTTGTACCAGTGCCTGCCTGAGCTTCATTGTGAGAGGCCTGCCTTCCATCAAATAACAGATGGCAGTGCTGGGCAGGCATATCTGGCAAGAAATACCAGTCCTGCTTGCAGGAAGAAATTTTAAAATGGTCCTAAAATTTCTTCAAGTGGGTTCATGCCTACATGAAGGGCTGATCCTGAAATTAGGGCTTAAGCACTCAGCTGCTAACGGAAAGGTTTGAACCTACCCACCGCTCTGCGGGAGAAAGATGTGGCAGTCTGCTTTGGTAGATATACAGCCTTGGAAACCCTACGGGGCAGTTCCACTTTGTCCTATACGGTAGTTATAAGTTGGAATTGACTCAATGGCAATGATTTATTTTTGGTTTAGGATTAATGGGGGATAGGGAGGGACAGTGGTGGTTCAGTGATAGAATTCTTGCCTTCCATGCAGGAGACCTGGGTTTGATTCCTGGCTAATGTACCTCAAGCTCAGCAGAGGTTTACATGTTGCTATGATGCTGAACAGGTTTCAGTGAAGTTTCCAGACTAAGACAGACAAGGAAGAAAGGTCTGGTGATCTACTTCCGAAAATCAGCCAATGAAAAAACCCTATCGATCACAATGGTCTGTCGATCTTGTTGTGCATGGGGTCACCATGAGTCGAAGGCTGACTCAACAGCAGCTAACAACAACAGGATCAGTGGGCTGCCTGGCTTGGCTCAGGCCCCAAGTCAGACAGGAGTGTGGTGAGGACACAGGAAATCTAATTTTTACTAAGATATGATGACATCTGTACTGGAGGTAGTTGCTGCTCACCAGAAAAGCATGGAACATTCTTCACTACTGGAGTGACTCAGACTGTCTCCTTTTCCCAACTGATGATTGCATTTTCTGTGTGTTAGCCGTGGAAATCCTTTCAGTTCAAATAGTTAAAATAAAACAGCAGCTAGATCCATTGTTTTCTCTACCCAGCATGCTTTTTTATCCTTCTCCTTCTGGTTTCACCCTCCTGCCTTGCTTTCTCTTTGGGAAATTTCTTCTTTTAAGTCCAGGGGGCCTTAGGTAGGGCATTCAATTACAAGACAGGGTATATGATTTAGTCTTGGCCAATGCAGAGTTTGCCATTTCCCTGCAACAGTGATTGGCTTAGCAAAAGACATATGACCCAAGCAGAACCAGTCACAGTCTTCCCTGACACTTTTCAGCTGAGCTAAAATGAAAAACTGCTTTAAAAAAAACTGTTCAAACTGGATAATTTTTAACATGTGCAAAAATAGTAAGAATAATATATGAAATACCCTTGTACTCAGTTTCAACATTTATCAACTCATGGCCAATCTCGAAAACTGTTTTTTTTTTCCCCACTAGGGTTGCTGAACCTAGGAGGATGGTGTTGCCACACCTGCCAGTGGAGAGAGACTGACTTGAAAATAAATCCAAACAGAAAGTGGAATTAAGAGCCAGAGCCCTGAGAACCTACTTGAGCTCCTTGATCCAGCTGAGCCTGAAGTCACTGCCACCTCTGTACTTTCTTTATGCTTAAGTCAGATTTAGATGGCAAAAAGTGCTTTCTAACACAATAATCTTAAAGAAACAGTCAACAGATAACTCTAAAATCTTGTGGGGTTTTTTTTGAGATATTTGGGAAATAGAAATTCATGGAAAATCTTTAAGGGGAAATAAAGGAGAAGGGTAGCTCTAGACATATTAAAAACAAAATCACCAGCATTTTAACTTCACTCTGCCCAAAAGATAATTTCAGTCCCATTGAAATGACAACCATCTACTAAAACTGTGAACTATATAACCTAAATATCATTAACAGATATAACAAAGGGTAAATTTTTTTGTCCCCGTAAAGACTCACAGCAAAATAACCAAGTCCCCCAGCCTATACAGTATCTCTGATTCTGAATTCTCTTCAAAGCAATCAATAAATGAATGAATGAATAAATAAAATCCCTCTTACGTGAGTGTTCTGTAACATATGCTAATTCCTCCTCTACCATCCACTTTGATAGGACAATACTTACACTTTTGCTTTGCCAGTTCGTGTATTAGATCTTCATACACTTGTGAAAAGAGGTCCTCTTCAGATTTGGTTCCATCTAGGTAAACTGAGAAGTGGAAAACAGACAGTTAAATGCTAACAGGCTGATCAGTATAGGCAGCTTTTTAAAAAGGTGATGTGAAGGTTAATTTTATTGGCTAAGCTGTGGTGCCCAGTTTGCTGTTTGATCAAATACTAGTCTAGGTGCTGCTGTGAAGGTATTTTGTTGACATGACTAATATTTACAACCAGCTGACTCTAAGTAAAGGAGATTACCCTCGATAATGTAGATGAGCCTCATCCAATCAGCTGAAGGCCTTAAGAGCAGAAACTGCGGTTTCCAGGAGAAGAAGGAACTCTGCCTCAAGACTGAAACAGAAATCCTACTGAAGGAGTTTCCATTTGGCCACCTGCCCTATGCATTTTGGACTTGGCAGCCTCACAATCACGTGAGTCAATTCCTTAAAATCAATTAATCAATCTCTCTAATACACACACACACACACACCCACACACACACACCCACACACACACCCACACCCACACCCACACCCACACCCACACCCACACACACCCACACACACACACACACACCCACACACACACACACACACACCCCCCAACCCTACTGATTTGTTTCTCTGGGGAACTCTGACTAATGTAGGTGATAAAGTGACATCTCTTGCAAATGCCAATAGGTTTAACCAAAGACCCCTGGGTCATAACTTAAAAGAAGAAAAAAAAAAAAACAATGAAGGAGAGAAACAGTGCACAGCCACGTACAACAGGTCAAAAACTTTGGTTTGCTACAAAGAAATCCAAACTATTTTTTAAAAAATTAAAAAGGAACATAGTTAAGTGGCATTGTACATGTGGGCACTTCAGGTGCACCCAAGAGGCGCCTACTCAAGAGTCATTTAAGGGGGTGGTTCTCCAACCTACTTCTGCAGCAGGATCACTTGGGAAGCTCCTTAACCGACGCGGGGGGGGGGGGTGTCTGGGCTCTGCCCCATGTGTACTGAATCAGAATTCACCAGGCCTAGAAATATGTATTTTTAACAAAACCAGCAAAAGCAGTTTTGGAGAAAAAGTAGAAGTCATCTAGGTTGAAGGGAGGAAAGGACCTTCGAGTCAGAAAACAGCAGGGGCAAGGAGATATAAGGGCAGGGAGGTATGAGAGCGTCCTGCCTAGTAAGAAAAAGAGGTCGAGTTTGAAACGGCTAGAATGTGGGGGTGGTGGGAAGAGTGTGAGAGATGAGATTCTAAAGCAAGGCTGTGCCTTAGTCTTTAGAGGCCTTGATGTCTGGCTTTTTGGACTGAAAGCACTTCAGCAGGGAAAAGGCATGGTTAACCCTGCATTTTAGATAGAGAAGGAAGAGAGGGACAGTGAGAAGAGGAAATCCCTGCAACGGAAACTCTAGGCAGGAAATGGTGTGGCCAGAGCCTCAGCAGTGGCTCCGGGGATGGAGAGGGGTGAGCTGGACTGAAGAAGAGATCAGAGCGGCAAGCAGACAGCAGGCAGCGCTCTGTGCTTTCTGCTTGGCTCTGGCATAGCCACCCTGGAGGCCAGCTCCCCTGTATTCTAAAAAGTATACTTAACTTCTGATTCCTCTGCTGTATCCAACCACCTCTCTTGGCACCCTCCTGCCATCTTCTCAGCCTTGAACTCTGATTCTAGCCATCTGTTCTTGGCCCATTCCCATAGATCCAGTTGCCTACCTCTGATTCGCTACTTTGTCTCTCAAGCTTCTCAACCTCATTATGGCTAAAACAGACTTGCATTCCTCCCTTCAAAATCTGCAACTCCTTTTTGGTTTCCTGAAATAACACCTGCCAGTTCCTCAGGTGTCATCCTTGACACTTCAATTTCCCCACCCTCCATGTCTACTCCATCACCCAGTTCAAATGAGAAGAAACAGCTGCAAACATCCATTAATAATCAGAATGTAAAATGTACAAAGTATGAATCTAGGAAAACTGGAAGTTGTCAAAAATGAAATGGAATGCATAAACATCAATATCCTAGGCAACAGTGAGCTGAAATGGACTGGTGTTGGCCATTTTGAATCAGACATTCATATGATCTACTATGCCAGGAATGACAAATCGAAAAGGAATGGCACAGTATTCATTGTCAAAAAGAACATTTCAAGATCTATCCTTAAGTACAATGCTGTCAGTGATAATAGCCATACGCCCACAAGGAAGACCAGTTAATACAACTATTATTCAAATTTACTCACCAACCATTAAGGCCAAAGATGAAGAAACTGAAGATTTTTACTAACTTCTGCAGTCTGAAATTGATCAAACATGCAATCAGCATGCATTGATAATCACTGGTGATTGGAATGCAAAAGTTGGAAACAAAGTAGACAAATCAGTAGTTGGAAAATACAGCCTTGGTGATAGAAACGATGCCAGAGATTCCATGATAGAATTTTGCAAGAGCAATGGTTTCGTCATTGCAAATATCTTTTTCAACAACATAAACAGCGACTATATACATAGACCTTGCCAGATGGAACACACAGGAATCAAATCGACTCTATCTGTGGAAAGAGATGATGGAGAAGCTCAAAATCATCAGTCAGAACAAGGCCAGGGGCCGACGGCAGAACAGATCATCAATTACTCATATGCAAATTCAAGTTGAAACTGAAGAAAATTACAGCAAGTCCACAAGAGCCAAAACATGACCTTGAGTATATCACACTTGAATTTAGAGACCATCTCAGGAAGAGATTTACACATTGAACACTAATGACCGAAGACCAGACGAGTTGTGGGATGACATCATACGTGAAGAAAGCAAGAGGTCATTCAAAGACAGGAAAAGAAAGAAAAGACTAAAATGGATGTCAGAAGAGACTCTGAAACTTGCTCTTGAATGTAGAGTAACTAAAGCAAACGGACGAAATGATGAACTAAAAGAGCAGAACAGAAGATTTCAAAGGGCAGCTCCAGAAGACAAAGTGAAGTATTATGTTGAAATGTGCAAAGACCTGGAATTAGAAAACCGAAAGGGTGGAACACACTTGACATTTCTCAAGCCGAAAGAACTGAAGAAAAAATTCAAGCCTCGAGTTGCAATACAGAAGGATTCTACGAGGAAAATATCGAATGATGCAGGAAGCATCAAGAGATGATGGAAGGAATACACTGTATCAAAAAGAATTGGTTGACATTCAACTATTTCAGGAGGTAGCATATGATCAAGAACCAATAGTACTGAAAGAAGTCTGAGCTGCACTAAAGGCACTGCAGAAAAACAAGTCTCCAGGAATTGACGGAATACTAATTGAGATGTTTTAACAAACAGATGCAGCACTGGAAGTGCTCACTTGTCTATGTCAGGAAATTTGGAGGGCAGCTGCCTGGCCAACCGACCGGAAGAGAACCATATTTGTACCCATTCCAAAGAAAGGTGCTCCAACAGAACGTGGACATTATCGAACAATATCATTAATATCACATACAAGTAAAATTATGCTGAAAATCATTCAAAAGCAGTTGCAGCAGTACACTGACAGAGAACTACCAGAAACTCAAGCTGGATTCAGAAAAGGACATGGAAAGAGGGATATTGATGTCAGATGGATCATGGCTAAAAGCTGAGAAAACCAGAAAGATGCCTATCTGTGTTTTACTGACTATGCAAAGGCATTCAACCATGTGGATCATAACAAATTAAGGATAACATTGTGAAGAATATGAATCCTAGAACACTTAACTGTGCTCATGCAGAACCTGTACATAGACCAAGAGCGAGTCAAATAGAACAAGGGGATACTGTGTGGTTTAAAATCAGGAAAGGTGTGTGTTAGCATTGTATCCTTTCACCATACTTAATTCAATCAGTATACGCCAAGCAAATAATCTGAGAAGCTGGAGTATATCGGGATTAGTGGAAGACTCTTAACAGCCTGCATTATGCAGGTGACACAACCTTGCTTGCTGAAAGTGAAGAGGACTTGAAGCACCTACTGATGAAGATCAAAGATCATAGCCTTCAGTATGGATTACACCTCAACATAAAGAAAACAAAAATCCTCACAACTGGATTAATAAGCAACATTATGATAAACAGAGAAAAGACTGAAGTTGTCAAGGACTTCATTTCACTTGGATCCACAATCAATGCCCATGGAAGCAGCAGTCAAGAAATCAAAAGATGTATTGCACTGGGCAAATCTGCTGCAAAAGACCACTTTAAAATGTTAGAAGCAAAGATGTCACTCTGAGGACTAAGGTGCACCTGACCCAAGCCACGGTATTTTCAATCACCTCACATGCATGTGAAAGCTGGACAATGACTAAGGCAGACGGAAGAAGAATTGATGCCTTTGAACTCTGGTGCTGGCAAAGAATACTGAATACACCATGGACTTCCAGAAGAACTAACAAATCTGTCTTGGAAGAAGTACAGCCAGAATGCTCCTTGGAAGCAAGGATGGCGAGACTTTGTCTCACATACTTTGGACATGTTGTCAGGAGGAATCAGTCCCTAGAGAAGGACATCATGCTTGGTAAAGTAGAGGGTCAGTGAAAAAGAGAAAGTCCCTCCATGAGATGGACTGACATGGTGGCTGCAATGATGGGCTCAAGCGTAATAATGATTGTGAGGATGGCACAGGAGCCGACAGTGTTTCGTTCTGTTGTACACAGGGTTGCTATGAGTTGGAATCAACTTGATGGCACCAAACAACAACAAATCCATTCTCCATGTAGCCAGAGTGATCTTATTAAAACAAGAATTTGATATCAATCATGTCCCTGTTTAAAATCTCTCTGTAGAGGACTTGCCGCTTCTCTTAGGACAATGGTCTACCACCCTTGTTGTAGGGTCTGGACCTGCCTCTATCACCAGCATCGACTCTCCCTCTTGGTTTTCTCTACCACAAATATGCCAGCCTTCTTTAAGGTTCTGCTTATTGTTCCTGCCCCATGGCCATACTCACTACCCGGGAATCTCTATCCTCACACCCCCACCTCCCTTTGTCCAGTTAAACCCCATCTGTAATGGGTTAAATTGTATCCCCCTGAAAGTCAAGTTGAAGTCCTAAGCTTCAGAACTTGGGAATGTGATCTTATTTGGAAATAGGGTCTCTGCAGATGTAATCAAGTTATCATGAGGTCATGCTGGAGTGTGATGTGGTGTTCCCTAATCCAATATGACTGGTGTCCTTATAAAAAGAAGAGAAGAGATATAGACACAGAAGGAAAACAGCCATGTGCTGCTGGAGGCAGAGATTGGAGTTATGCTGCCATGAGCCAAGGAGCACATGGAGCTGCCAGAAGCTGGAAGAGGCAAGGAGGGATCTTCCCCTAGAGCCTTCAAGGAAAGTGTGTTGCTGTTGGGTGCAGTTGAGTGGATTCTGACTCATAGTGACCCCATGTGTTAGAGGGTAGCACTGCTCCATAGGGTTTTCTTGGCTGGAATCTTTATGCAAGCAGATCACCACAGGTCTTTCGTGGAGCCGCTGGGTGGATTCGAACTGCCAATCTTTCAGTTAGCAGCCAAGCGCTTACGGTTGTAAGAATAAATTTCTGTTGTTTGAAGCCACCCAGTTTGAGGTAATCTGTTACAGCAGGCCTAGGAAACTAATACGCTGTCAGAGTCTGGCTTAAATGTAGCTTCCTCAAGGAGGCCTTCCCTGACTGACCGTTGGGACTGAGGTAGTCTTCCAGGAGCTCTGTCTCACAGCACCCTATACATCTTCAGCACAGCACTTACAATGCAGCAAGGACATGCTTATGCAACTAGTTTGTTTGACGTCTGTCTTCCCTGATAGAATGTTAGCTCCCTGACTGCAGGGACTGTGTCTGCCTTGTTCCCCTCTGTATCCCCACATGGAAGGCATTCAATTATCATTTGTTGAATGAATGACCATCCAGAAGTTGGCAAGCTTCTAACAAGAGCCACACAGAGAGCAACAGACACCAGCAGAGCCAGTCTGGGAAGAGATGAAGACCAGAAGTGCTCTGGCCTAAAGTGGCCCTTTATAACCTTCACCATGAGAAAAACGCCTCCTAAATTCTTTTCTTTGCCTTTTTTTTAGTATGAACCAATTTTTATTTTATTTTTTAAAATGATATATACATACAGAAATCTGGAGGCATACACAATAGCCTGTTACCCTGTCTTTTTCAGACTTTTGGACATTTATTTTTTACTATTATTGTACTTTAGATGAAGGTTTACAAAACAAACTAGCTCCTCATTAAACTATTAGTACACATATTGTTTTGTGACATTGGTTACCAACCCCACGACATGTCAACACTCTCCCCTTCTCGACCTTGGGTTCCCCATTACCTGTTTTCCGTCTCCTCCTGCCTTCTAGTCCTTGCCCCTGGGCTGGTGTGCCCCTTTAGTCTCGTTTTGTTTTATGGCCTATCTAATCTTTGGCTGACGGGTGAACCTCAGGAGTGACTTCATTACTGAGCTAAAAGGGTGTCCAGGGGCCTAAATGCTTTTCTTTTCTATACTCTGAAGCAAATGGCAAGTAAAAGGCCTTACATAGAGGTTAGAAAGGCACTTACCAATTTCCCACGTGATGTCCTCGATTTCTCTTTTGTGCTTCAGATACATGGGCCACACGTGGCCGTCAAAGTACCCTGGAGGGTCTGGCGGCTCATAGACCCTTGTACTACCAAAACATGTACGAAACTTTATGTAGACACAAACACACAATTGATAAAGTAAAATAATAGTGGTCAGGATAATGGGAAAATCACTCAGAGATGAGCTCTAAACACGATTAATACGACATGTTTTAGATTCAATGCAAATACATACGAAGGCATGAAAACGGATTTAGTTCTTCAGTCCAAAAATTAATTTGTAATTCACTGAATACAGTTCATAATTGTCTTTTCTCCCCTCTAGTGCTTTACAGAAGAGTCAAGAAACAGATATCATTGTAAATAAAGATACTGATATGTTGGGTTAAACTTTTAGCTGATTGGTGTTTTGTGTGGCTATAACAGAAAACAATTAGATTATAAATCATAATCAACATGAGATTGGTTCATTGGAAGATTTAGGAAAAATGAGCCAAACAGCTTGTAAAAGTGTATTTTCTTAGAAAAGTAATTTGCTTTACTCCACCTGGATGACTATTTATGGAAAAAGGTTTTCCTCCTTGTGTAAGAAAGTTAAGGTTTCCCTGGTTTGAAAAATGATACACACAAATTGCTAAACAGTGTTGCCTTCCCTGTTTTTCCTAAATTTTGCCTTTTTGAATTCTAATTCACAAAAGTGATTTCAAAACTTACCTCCTCCTCCTTTTGCATTCTTCATACGGAACAGTCAGAAAGTAGCTTCTATTCCATATAGTGTCAAGGGGTCTAAAATAACAGTATATTTAGTTCACAATGTTCCCCGCGCCATTCATTCTGAGTCAATTTTAGAATGGTGATGCTTACTTATAGTTAAAGAGAAGGAAACCTTCAATGATTAAGATGGGAATTTCCTCAGCACTTTCCCAGTCAGTTGACAGCAGAGAGTGTCTTGCGCTTTCCATCCAGCAGGAAATGGCTGACATCATTTTTTCCATGTTAAGCGCTTCAAGCACTTCAAACAAATACACAAAAATATAAATTCAGTATGAAGAGTTTTGTGATGCAGCTTTTTGTGATAAGTAAAATCAGGGCTCTACAAAGGTTATAGAGTAATATCATTTTATTTAAATCTAATAACAAGCATTTTATATACTGAATTTAAACTATAGTATTGATAAATAGGTGGAATGGAAATATTTTATTACGGAGAATTTCAAACATATACAAAAGACAAAAGTAGACAGTACAATGAATTCCCATGTCCCCATTACCAGCTTTGATAATCACAAATTTTTTTGTTTTTGTTTCTGTTTTTGCTTTTCTCAGTGGCTTAAAACAACATGAATTTATTATCTTATAGTTCTGGAGGTAAGAAGTCCAAAATGAGTTTCACTGGGCTAAAGTCCAGATGTTGGGAGGGCTCGTTCCTCCATAAGGATGGTCCTTCATGGAGGCTCTGAGGGAAGAATCCATTTCCATGACCTTTTCAGCTTCTAGTGGTTGCCTGTACTCCTTAGCTGGTGTATCCTTCCGCCATCTTCAAAGCACTTCACTCCTGTCTCTGCTTCCATAATCACATCACCTTCACTTCTGATTTTAACTCTTGCTGTATCCCTCATATAAGGACCACTGTAATTACACTGGGCCCACCAGATAATCCAGGATAATCTCCTCACCTCGAGAGCCTTAATTTAATCAAATCTGCAAAAGCTCTTTGCCATATAAGGTAACATTCACAGGTTCTGGGGATTAGGATGTGGATACAATAAGGCGGGGGGGGGGCATTAGTCAGCCTACCACACCAGGTAATTCTTATTATCAGGTAAATGTGAGAAACATTGCAGGGAATTGTTAGTTAACCCCAGAACTGCAACATAAATATTCCAAACTACAAATACTATGAAAGCATAATTAATTAATCAATTAATTAACTGTACAATCATAAACTCTTGGTTAATCTTGCTTTATTTATAACTTCTACTCCCATCTCTCGCCAGATTATTTTAAAGCAAACCCAGGACATCATATTCTTTTGCAGGATGACCACCCTAGTAGCAATGAACTACCCTGGTGCCCAGAATGTGGTCTCAAAATAGCATTTCCCAATAAGAGGAATCAGGGCACCTTAGATTTGCTTCAAATCCAGGATACTGTATCATTTCACATGTAAAGATGAGCACCCCTTGTACCAAAATTGTGGTCTCCAAGTACCCCTTCCCACTAAAAGGAATTAGGGCTTCTTAGGCTTGTTTCAAATCCAGTAAATCCGGGACATCATTTATCTCTTACCTTAAATTCATACATTTACCAGTTCAGATTTTCTTTTAGATTCCCGGAGGTGGGATACTTGAACACGTGGCATAAACATTTTCGTTTCATACTGTATTATTTTTAATGATACACACAGACCTCTTCATTCATGGCGTCTAGAGACCACTTCACTTACTGCTCTGTTTGGCAGCCAGTCAGTTGTCTCTTTCTTCAGCAGTGGTGATGTGGATACCTTTGCCTCCGGAGGGAGAAATCCACGGTTTGTTGCCTTTGCCAATGATGAAAATGCTGGAAAGCCAGGTGGCAAAGCTTTGCCACTGGCCATCTTTCACATGAACCACATCAAAAGAGCTGGGATCTCTCTCTGTTAGTGCTCAAATCAATTCTTCCAGCTTAACACCGCCAGTCACTATACACAGGTTAACAGTGTTGAACTTGATGAAATCAGTCATCCTTCTAGTCTCCAAATTAATCTGAATGAGGGGATCAGGGGAATGGATGGTGTGAGCAACGTGGGTCACCAGATGAGGGATTCGTTTCGTGCCCACAAAAATCTTTCTTGTTTTGCATAACCTGCACTTCACCTACTCTGGCATAATACGATAAACGGAAAAGCGAACCTTGGTGTCACAGATCAGACGGAAATTCTCTCCGGTCTTGTTGATGCTGATGACATCACAAAACCAACAGGGTAGGTTATATCAGTTTGAACCTTGCCATCAATCTTAATGAACTGCTGCATGCAGATCTTCACTTCATCTCCCCTTTAGGGCATATGCAAGTCTGTTCCTTAAGAAAAGAATGAGGGGGAGACGTTCTCTCAGCTAATGGGGACCTGTAGATGGATGAGGAGCAAACACACCTGGTCAGTTTGTCCAGCCTCAAATGCTTTGGAGCTGCAACATTCTTCAGACAGTTCTTGGGACCACAAGCGATGGCTATGTTAGGTACTGGAAGAGGCTGTGTTATGGATTGTGTCCCCCCAAAATATGTGTTGTAAATCCTGCTGTTGTTGTTGTTGTTAGGTGCTGTCGAGTCCGTTCTGACTTACAGCGATCCTATGTATAATAAAACAAAACACTGCCTGGTCCTGTGCCATCCTCACAGTCATTGTTATGCTTGAGCCCACTGTTGCAGCCACTGTGTCAATCTACCTCGTTGAGGGTCTTCCTCTTTTTCGCTGACCCTCCTACTATCCCTGCCATTATAATCCCATTTGGAAATAGGATTTTCTTTGTGATGTTAATGAGATAGTATTAGTGTCAAGTGTGTCTTATGTCAATCTCTTTTGAGATATAAAACAGCAGATTAGGCAAGCAACAAAAAAGCACAAATAGGGGAAGACAGATGTCACACCCCATGAGATCTCCAAGGAACAAAGAAACAGAAGCTGAAAAGAGACAAGGACTTTCCCCTAAAGTGGACAGAGACAGAAAGCCTTCCCCTAGAGCCAGCGCCCTCAATTTGAACTTCTAGCCTTCTAAACTGTGAGAAAATAAATTTCTTTTTGTTAAAGCCACCTACTTGTGGTATTTCTGTTATAGCAGCATTAGGTAACTAAGATAGGCTGGCATAAGCATTTTCATGTCTTTGGGACATATGCTCAAGCTCCTTTCTAGAAAAGTTATACAAATTTATACTCCAATCTAAAGTGTATGTGTTTTTGTTTTATTGCGCCTGTACCATCATTAGATAATTCTCATTGCTTTAAAAACTTTTTTTTACTTGGTAAGTGGGAAAAAAATATATATATATATAATTTGCAATTGTTTGACTACTTGTGAGGTTTATTGTTCATTTATTAATCAAATAACCTTCGCTTCTGTAAACAGCTTACTCACATCCTGTGCCTACTTTTCTATTGGGATATTAGTGTTTTCCTTGTCAGTTTGTAAGAAATCGTTATAAATTAGGAATAATAATTCTTTATCAATTGTTGAAAACAGTTTTTCCTTGTTTAACTCTTTGTGATACTCTTTCTCACTATCCTTCGGAGGAGGTGACAAGAAGGAAACGTATATCCTGGCTGCAGCTCAAGACACAAGAATAGACAGTTGAGTCTAGGAGATGTAGCCGTTAAGTGCTGGGCTGCTGATCAAAAGGTCAGCAGTTTGAACTCACCAGCTGCTCTTCGGTAGAAAGATGTAGCAGTCTGCTTCCGTAAAGATTACAGCTTTGGAAACCCTATGGGACAGTTCTACACTGTCCTATAGGGTCACTATGAGTTGGTATTGACTTGATGGCAACAGGTTTTTTTTTTTTTTTTCCCCAAACTTACCATATGTCTGTAAAGAAATGATTATACAACATTCTTTTTTTTCCTCCAGGCCAATCAAAGGTGAAAATAAAGAACATTGTTTAAGAGTCTTTAGGAGGGAGAATGTGCTCTGTTTCTAGTTTACATAAACACTTGATGACCAACTTGTTAATTATAATAGTTAATAAGAATATTAAATATAATATAGACTATTAGCACAATGTTCTCTGCAAGAAAACAAATGTTTTCTGCTGGACTTTAATCGTTTGGCTTCAAAACCGTGTTAGCTTGGGGCAAGGGAATGAGATGAATCCATCTAAAAAATATTCACAAGCTTCTCTGAGCAGTGAAAAGAAAAAAAACAGCTGCTAGTACCTTGGTCACTGGGAAAGAAAGTTGAGAAGATATTGAGAGCTTACAGTTGCGCCGGGCAAGATTCTCTAGTGGGAGGGAATGTATCTAGTTACACAATCCAAGCACATGGGTGAGCAGAGAGACAGCAAACCTAGTATGCCCCAGCTTCGGAAGAAAAATCTATCATTCCTATGTTTTCAGTTTTAAATATGAAACTGGGGAAGGATTTATTTATTTAAATAGTTGAACACAAATCAGAAACCTATGAAGGCAGGTATAAAATACAACAATATATTTAAACACACTTTAAGACTGTTTTCATAGACAGTGAAATTCTTTGGGTTTGAAAAAGACAATGAAATTAGCGTACAATGTTTTACAAGATCATCAACTTACCATCATACTGCAAAAATCCGTTTTTGTCTGTCTCTATCTCAGACACTGGCTGGAAAAAAAAAAACAACAAAGTGCCAGTCAAAACAGTTTGCAGAAATAATACAATTACAGAATGAAGAGGAGATAAGTCTTCAAAAAATGCTTTGGATGATGATGATAAAGAAAATCTAAGATCAGCAGCAGTAAGTGGTACCATCTAGTGGATAAGTGACACTACTGCATGGAGCGTTCTTCCACTGTAAAAGGTGTATCACTCAGCAAGACCGATAGAATGCAATTCAATTAACTTTGTTATTAGAATGTTTTTACGTTAAATAAATTATCTAAGAAGCTTTATAAATACCTTAAAGAAATCATCTTGAGATATGACACTGCAGTTTTGGAGGTGCTTCTGCAAATTCTTAGCCAGCGTTGTCTTGCCACCATTTGTCACACTGAACCAAAGGAAGAGAAAAAAACACGAAGAAGGAAAACGCATTGAAAAACATAAAACATTTTAAAATAATCTTAGAGGAAAAGGATATTTAAAACAATATTTAATATCTAAGAAAAAATATTTCTTCAGCAGTTATTGCTTTTCCTGTTGGCAAAACGATCGGCATAGGCAGATCTGATGTAAATGATAAAAAAAATAAGTTGGGAAGACTGGAGGAGAAAGGTAACCAACTACTGGGCAAGTGAACTGGGCAGGACTAAGACTTAAGCAGAAGGATATATGTCTGCAGCAAAATATTAATTCATAGTTCACTTCCACTCAAATAACAGGAGTAACACTTTGGTGCAAGTATATAAAATTACATATGGTAATGGTGATTTTGTTTCATTGCACAAAATGAGGGAGTGGTTCACTACATGCCACCTACTGTGAATTTACATCTCCTCTGTGACACCTCCCTTTCCCATTCTCTCTCAACACTGGGGGTAGATGGGAAGTCTATTGTAGTTTATCACATCACATCAGTTATTTGTCCCTTTCTGCTGGACTGTGACATCGAGAATGGGGACCCTGACAACACCTCTCTGTAGCTAGTTCCCCAGCATCCCGCACCACGCATAGCACATGGAGGCACTTCTCTATTCACTCGTTTACTCCAGAGTTTTTTAACCCGGGGCTCATGTACCTCCAAGGGGTCTGTGGACAGAACTCAGGGTCTTTGTGAACTTCAATGGGAAACATATTACATCTGTATTTTTACTAAATTTGAACTGAAAATGAGCATTTCCTTTAATTACAAATGTAAGTAACAAAGTACAGAGGTACAGTATTAATGGTACCTGTGACTTGGTCACCAATAGAAATCAGTTATTTTCATATCATGTTGTAGTTGTCGCAGATATTTTAAAATATCATTGATGCTCAGAATTATTTCAAATTTATGACATTTTTTAGACACACCACTGGATAGCGTTATTTAATACATGAACAAGTAAGTATATACATCACAATGTCACATTTATTTTTACAAATATTTTTATAACTATAATTCAGTATAACTGGTTTCCTTTGTATTCCTGTATTTTGTGCAATTAAAACCATTACTCTGAGAAGCAGTCAAGCCTTCACCACACCAAATGTCCACAGCACAAAAAAATCTTGATTGGACATTTATTTTCAAGAACTTTAATCCCAGGTTAAGATCTCAGATGAGATGAATCCCAATGTGTTTGTCATCTAGGAAAGGAACTCATATTTATTCATCAAAATTGCTTGCTGGATGTAATTCAAGTAACACCTAATGTGGTGCAATGAATTACTTAATATGGCCCCTCTAGTCATGGTCTTTGTGACTCACACAATAACTGAGAGGGACTATGCAAATAAAACATATGGAACTTGTGATGGCTGGGGTTGTGTCAACTTGGCTAGGCTGTGTTTTCCAACATTGTATGGTTGTCCTCCATTTTACGTGTTGTGGATCCTGACCTCTACATGTTGATGAGGCAGGATTGCTGTAGGATGTGTCTTGGTCACATCCTTGCAGGACGGTATGACTCAAGTCCCACCCTTAAGTTACACCCTTCCCTGGGGTGTGGCCTGCATCTAAGGTCCATGTGTAGATGACCTGGCAGGGGTTGCTTTCTCTGCATCTGGATCCCTTGTCAGGTTGGTGATCAACTGACTTCTGGTTCTTGGGACTTGGACAAGAGGCCTGCTATCTGACTTGCTGATTCTGGGATTCATCAGCCTCCACAGCCCCGTGGGCCGGAGGCCTATCGTCTGACCTGATTCGCCAGCTTCTGCAGCATGTGAGCCAGCAGCCTGTGATCTGAACTGCTGGTTTGGGTTTGTCATCCCCTGCAGCCACGTGGGTCAGGAGATGCCTACACCTGACCCACTGATTTGGGACTTGCCAGCCTCCACAACCGCACGAGTCATTTCCTTTATACAGTGTGAGTTTTGTGAGATGCTGCAGTGAATTACCAAACCCAGAGATGGGAGGGAGAGCACTGAGGGGAGAGGGAGTAGTAGATGCTAGAGATGATGGAGTGGTGCAGCAGCTTGGAAAAGTCGGACATTTGCGACATCTTGAAGCTCGCCTCATAGGAACCAGCTTTGTACCAATCCTTATAAAAGAAATTATTCGTTTAGCTGGTGTCATAATTGTGCATTTTGTTGCAACAGCCCAGACTCACTGGAATATGTGGTTTTGGGAAAAAGGAGATAAATGGGAGAATGAGAAAACTTTGTTTTCTGGATGGGATAAAAAACACACATGGATTGAAGCAGCTGTCATGTTGTAATCAGTTACTCAAGGCAAAAGCTATTCATGGGATTTAGGAGGGGTGGATCTAACTCCTGAGGAATTGGCTAGTTAAATGTATATGAAATACAGAGTGATAAATAAAGGGCTAGATGTACAATTCCTTGGTTTCTGTTATCAGTAATAGCTGCAATGGCAGGGAAAAAGAATTGTAGGGGCTGATTTTAGCACTGAACCAAGCCCAGATCCTGTCTGGTCAGAGCTAGTCTCAGGGCCCACGCGGAAAGGAAAAATTGTGTCTGAACAACAGGAAGTTCCTATACAATTGTTGGTCACCAAGAAGATGGTCCAGGAGAGAAACGAGCAAAACCAAGAAATTATAGAAAGCAGGGGGTACAGTGTAAAGAGGTTACTTTAATTTGCAGATTGGTATCGTCAGCTTCCCCACGAACCGTTACTAAAATGGATTGTGAGAGTGACTAATTTAGGGTCAGTGTCTTTAGTTCTGAATGATGCAGACTGGAAGAGTATGTTTGAGTTGATGTAAGGTCCACAACTCACTATGGAACAGTCAAGAACGATGATACAAGATCCAGTTACACAGCAGACTAACCCGGCAGGGACGGCCAGCCTGGTGGATTGGATAAAATTTGCAGTGAGATTTGTTTACCCTGAGAAGGGAAACTGCCCCTCTCCTCATCTACATACCCAATGGAACACTCCAGAGGAAGCAGCTGATGTCCTGCTTATGCAGGCCATACTAGAATGGCTTTATGGTGATCAGGATATTGGTCCAATGTGTATGCCCCTTACACAGGTTACGGCAGATCTGGTAATCAAGGAAGCGCCTTCTACATCATGGGCACCCAGCATAACCTTGCTACTGTGAACCAAAGCAACAATCTGAGAAGCCTTGTAGGATCTGTTGGCACAGCTTCCCTACATGGATCTTACAGATGCAACATACGTAAGGGTGATTCACAGGAGAATGGGAAGAGGCAATGCGGAAAGAATTTACTCCAGCAGGACAGAGATTTTTAGATGGTTACCAAGAAATGGGATGAATATAGTGAACACTGATGAGCTGAGACAAAGGTTCTAATGCAGCACTACAGGAGGTTGGGTGGACTAAACAAAACTACTGCTGGTCCTCCAACGCTGAAGAGGCTTAAACAAGTCCATCCTATTCACCCTAGTTGGGAGGTATTTGATGATGGGAATTCCCACCTGGAACCATCTGAAGCAGAGGCTCACCTAGTTGATCAAGATAAGGACTGAAGAGGGGGCTAGCGTCTTTTGGTCCAGCCCCCAGCAAGGGACCTGAGGCCATATGCACACGTGTGGGAGAAATGTCCTGGGGGTGGGGAAGAGATCTTCTTGGGGATCCCAGACACAGGAATCCAATGTACTGTAATCCTAAAACCTTTCAATAAAATCTTGAAGGGGCCTAAGGTTAGACTTGGGGGATATGGGGATGCAACAGTTGATGGTACCAAGGTGAAAGTTTGGATGAGAATTCGAAGATTTAAACAGATCTTGTATGAAATAGTTGCATCTTCCTTACCTGAATGTATTATTGGTATGACTATTATATCTAATTGGGGAACACTCCCTCTACCTGATACTGTAAAACCGAAGGTCTGTAAGTCTGCCCTCCGGCCAGTATTGATTGGACGTGCTAAATGGGAACCATTAGAATTGCCCAAGCCCACTCAGGATGTTAATTTGAAACTGTATAGGATACCTGGTGGACAAAAGGAGATTACTGCTTTGATTAAAGACATGCTAAAGGCTGGAGTATTGGTGCCAACAAATTCTCTGTATAACAGCCCTGTATGGCCCATTAAAAAGGCAGATGGCTCATGGAGGCTGACAGTAGACTACTGAGGCCTAAATAAAGCAGCCACCTGTGGCTTCAGCTGTTCCAGACATGGTATCAATGATGTAGAAAACACAGCAGACTAAAGGAAACTGGTACTCAGTAATTGATCTGGCAAATGTCTTTTTCTCCATGCCAGTTTCAGAAAGAGCCAGCCACAGTTAGCTTTCACATGGGAAGGATCTCAACTCACTTACACTACACTCTCACAGGACTACCTGAATTCACCAGCTTACTGTCACAGTTTGGTTAGAAGAGACTGAGACTTGGTACAGATTTCGAGTGTAATGATACATTATGTTGATGTTAATATTAAACACTGAAGAACAGGCTAGGGCTGACTTGAATACAGTGGTGGCCCACATGACCAACAGAGGCTCATTAATAAATCCAGCAAAAATCCAGGGTCCTGCCCAAACAGTGAAAATTCTTGGGAATAACTTGGGCAGGAGCTACCCGTGACATTCTGCAGGCAACTAAGAATAAGTTGTTGTTGCTACCTACCTCCAAGACTAAGCAGAAGGCCCAACGTTTGGTTGGTTCATTTGGATTCTGAAGAACGCATATTCCACATCTGGGAATACTGCTGGCCCCCATCCATAAAACTACTTGGAAGAAAACTGCATTTGAATGGGGGCCAGAGCAACAGCAGGTTATGTCTGAATTACAAAAAGTGGTCTAACTCTCCCTGCCTTTCGGCCCTTATGATTCACATTCAGACATGAGTTTTGGAGGTGTCTGCCACACGTTTATGCAGGCTGGAACTTGTGGCAAAGACTTGAGAATGCCACCCTATAGTGATCACTGGGATTTTGCACCGGAACGTTTCCAGATGCTGCAGCATGATACATGC